TCTATTGCACCTACCATGATCTCGTCGATTACGATGAGAAACAGTAGCAGTGATAGTATACATCCTTGTCTCACACCAGCGACTACCCGGATAGGGTCGGAGAAGGCTCCGTTATGCAGAACTCTGCACGTGAAAGCCTCATACTGCGCTTCGATGAGGTTGACGATTTTACCCGGGACTCCCTTGCGTCTCAGGGCGCCCCACAGATTCTCGTGATTGAGACGGTCGAAAGCTTTTTCGTAGTGAATGAATACCAAATAAAGGGACTCTTGGAATTCATTGACCTGCTCCAGGATGATGCGGAGCGTGACAATATGGTCCACACAAGATCTTCCGGCACGGAATCCTGCCTGCTGCCGTCGGAGAGTCGCGTCGATCTTCTCCTGTATCCGATTCAGGATAACTTTGCACAGAACTTTGAGAACAATACACAGTAACATGATGCCTCGCCAATTGTCGCACACAGTCAGATCCCCCTTCTTTGGGACCTTCACTAAGATGCTCTGCATCCAGTCGGCCGGAAAAGTCGCGGTGTACCAGATATTACAGAATAGTTGATGCAACATTTGTGCGGATAGCATGGGGTCAGCTTTGAGCATCTCTGCTGATATGCGATCGACCCCTGGAGCCTTGTTGGATTTCATGCTTCGGATAGCTGCTTCAATCTCCTGCAGTGATGGGGCCTCGGAATTGACGCGAGTGATGCGCCGCACCCTAGGCGGATCATGCCGAGATGTTGATGGCTGGTTGGCCGTCGAAACTTGAAGAAGTTGTTCGAAGTGCTCAAACCAGCGTTGCAGCTGGTCAGTGGGGACGGTAAGCAATTGTCCAGTCGTGTCCTTCACTGGCATCCTCGGGTTCATCCTTGCTCCACTCAGGCGTCGTGAGATATCGTAGAGGAGGCGTATATCGCCAGTGTTTGCGGCTTTCTCCCCTTCGTCGGCCAGGGAGTTCACCCACGCTCGCTTGTCCCATCTGCAAGAGCGCTTGACTTCCTTCTCTAGAACCGAGTACCGTTGACGGGCTTCGTTCTTGGCTCCTCTGGTTCTCGCCCGCTTTATCGCGGCTTTTGCTTCTCTACGCTCCTCAATCTTCCGCCAGGTTTCATCTGTGATCCACTCTTTTCTCTGGGTGCGCAGCTCACCCAAGCACACCTTCTGGAACGTCCGCAGCTCGAGTCTCAAGCTCATGAACAAAAGACCTTTTTACCGCTGGATCTTCAAGTCGGCGTGTGTTGAACCGCCGCCCGAGTCTCTCCTCCCGTCGCTGGATCCACGCCATGCGTAGGCGGATTTCACCGATTAGAAGGTGATGGTCAGACGCGATGTCGGCGCTGCGTTTATTCCGGACATCAAGAAGGCTCCGTCTCCATTTTCGGCTGATGCAGATGTGGTCGATCTGATTCTCGGTATGTCTATCACGGGAAACCCACGTGACTTTGTGTACTGGCCGATGGGGGAAGAGCGAGCCCCCGATCACCATGTCGTTATTGCCACAAAATTCTGCAAACAGCTCACCGTTCTCGCTCATTTCGCCGAGACCATGGCGTCCCATGACACGCTCATAGTCCGTGTTGTCGGAGTCGATCTTCGCATTGAAGTCGCCAGTGTAGATCTTGATGTCACCCTTTGGAACCTTATCCACGACGGCATTCAGTTGACTGTAAAAATTCTCCTTGTCCTGTAGCTCGGCAGCATCGGTTGGCGCATAACATTGGATTATGGTAAGGTTACGAACCCGTGTTCTAAATCTGGCAACGATTATCCTCTCATTAACAGGCTCCCACTTGATGAGCGCAGCACTTGCCTGGACGCTAAGTAGGAGACCAACTCCACGATGGCGGGGAGCGTTTTCACCTCGAATACCGGAGTATAGTAGTACCCTTCCCGACGGCAGTTTGTGTTCTCCAAAGTTTGGCCAACGAACTTCACTCAGTCCCAGGATTTCTAGCTTCATGCGTCGCGCCTCGTTGTATACATTCCATGATCCAATTCGTGTCCGTTGTTATGCGCTAAAAGTCATTGCCGTTAAATCAGTTCGATGTCTTTCTCTGTTGGTTTCTGTAACAATTGTAAAGGTTTCAGAGACAGTAGGTGGTTGGCCTAAGGACTCCTATCCGCCGTGATGGGGCTGCCATCTTAGGTGTAGCTTCCGGGGAAGAGCATTTCTTATTCAGCCGCTGGATGCCAGTCAGACGCTGTTTGAGCCGCACCTCCATGGTGAACAGACGCTCGGGTTGGCGAAGCATTTCCTCTATCACCAGCCCCCATGACTCTATCAAAGTTTGTTTACATACATGTTTCACCAAAGTATGTTTTACTGAAATTGAAAACTCAGCTGAGTCATAAAAACTATGCTGGTTTTTATACTTTCATCATTGAGCCTGTTGGTTTTTGTCTTTTAGCTTACAATTAAGAATGTGTTATGAAAAAGTATGAATCATTTTTATGAGATTGCAATGCTTGACGAGAGGTAAGAACAGTAACTGAGTTTGTTGCTTCTGAATGTTTGGCTCCCGTTTGACAGTTCTGACTGGCTCCCAAGTGACAAGCACATTGAGTGAGTGCGCAGTACCCAGGTCAAAAGGTGCAGCACAACAAACACTTTATCTTCCGCAATCCAATAATCCTGCTCCATCAGAACGGGATCCGCTTCCAGTTGTTGCATGACAGAGCGCTTTCAATGCAGCACTGGACGCAAAACGTGGTCAGCATTCACACAATCATCACGAAACGGTTGCTTTCCAAAGTCGACGACGCATCAACCGAAAGAACTGCTGATGAAGAACAATGAGGAGGACCACACAATGGTTGCTGCCGAGCAAACAGACGATCGCGTGACACACATCGAGAGTGGCCTGCTTCTGTCGACAGCCGAGTTAACACTGCACACGATGTATTTCGGTGCATGTTAGAATCTGTCCGCTTCCCGGGGGTACCCTGTACATCTGAAAGAGGCCACTGTGGTGTCCACCATTGATTTTATGGTAAAATTCTAATGTGATTTGAGGTGTCGTATGATGAGTTTGTGATACTCCCCAGTGAAATCTGGAATTCACATTTTTGTTCATATCTTTGGAACCATAATTCCGATCGAAAAAAAAAATCAATTTGCAATCCATGGGGATCTGAAACAAATCTTCTGAAACTCTTTCCACTCAAATTGGTCTAGCCATCTCAGTGTAAGTGTTTAGCGCCAATTAATCGTACTTGGCTTCGTTGCACAATACTATCCATTTCTCGATGATCTTGATTTCGATATTCATTCTTATTTGAATCGTTTCAGCAATCATGATCCTGATTCATCAACACTTTTTGAGCACGAAGTATTTAGAATCGTATTAATAAGCTTATACATTGCTCTTTTGATTGTTGATTTTTCCATATGTAGGTGGTAGAAAGTTGAATACCTCACTAATATGTGTTCGTTCTCCTGCTATTGGCGTGGAAAAGGACCAGTACTAAGTAACTAACGGATTTCCACGCCACATGGCACATAAGATCGACTCAAATTTAAGTTTAAATTACTCAAACTCTAGAAAACGTAAAGTAAACTAAATTAAATTTTCCGAGTCTCATAAAGCTTTTCGAATAAGAAAAAAATTGACGAAAAATCTACTAATTCAAGAAGTATTCACTCAAAGAATAAATCACATATCCAATGGAAAATATTCATTAGAATTTCACATAACTTTAATTGAGAATTGTACCACAAAATCACATGAACCTTATGTGTCAAATGAAATATTAGTGATCTATCTTATAGAACTCTTGATTTTTATGTGATATTCGGATAGATATTACTGGTTTTGTTAATGGAAAAATATTATGTGCAACGGAAACTACATGAATACTTTTTTCCGTGTAATAATTTCATATGTACATCACTCTTATTAGAAAACAAATTCCTGTAAAATCTCGGAAAGTTTTACTCAGTCTATGAGTCCACTACGTTTTCAAAAAATATCAAGCAATCTGAACTTTGAGCCGATCTCATTTGTCGTGTAGTTATAATTTATCTTGTTATTTATTCCCAACTTCAATTAGCTTCAATCAGTTTAAAGCAGGTCTGTTTTGCTCGAACATGACTTTTACCGACATTTTAAATTTCGGATCTATTTCATGACTCCCATGAGAAATTTTTCGCAGACATCTGGAAAATAAAATCTGACATCTCTGGTTGTAACAGTATTGCATGAAGCCGGCAATATTTAAGTCGTCCCTAAAGTATATTGTGACTGACAATCCCTTATGGCCTGTACGGGTTCATAATGCCGGTTAACCAAAATTGTTGTACCTAATCCGACAAAGTTTGTGCTAAAAATTGATGCGCCAATGTTAATCATCGCCGAAAAACTGTTTACATCATGCTAATAACCATGGGTTTGCAAACGACAAGCTTACCAGCCCGTGAATCAGCACTAGTATAATCACCCCATTAATAATAATAATCGAAACAAAGCGACGGATTCCTATTTCAACTGAACACCCCTCTCTAGCCGGCAGTAACCGGCATATCTCTGTAGGGCGAGCACATGGTCCGAAGCAGTGCGCCGAATCCACCATTCGCCGGCCGCCTCCACGCTTCGTTCATCCTTATCGCCTATCGTTTGCTGTTCCCTACTCACCACGTGCTTGCTAAAACGCTGACTCGGCGAATGCCTTATTTTGTCGCGCTCTCCGGCATCTTTCCGTCTCTGTGTGTATGTTTGTATATAAATGCGCTTGCTGTAGAACAAACAAACTAGAAAACGATGCGACGAAGATGCTTGGAAACTTATTTCTCCTTTGCAAAAATTTCGCTTTCATCGAAAAGAGATCCTCTGAGTTCTAGGTGCCTATCTCTCGCAACCATGGACTCGTTATTGTTCTCCCGAACAAACAATAAGCCTTCGGTGTGTCGAGGTGGTTCTTTACTGTTCTTTTTTACTATGTATTGTAGAATGCAACGCTCACGCCAGTCCAATGCCAAACCGAAGCGCTTATACGCGAATCGGTCGTCGGGTTTCGCCTTTCAATACACTCGCAGTCCGTTCCATGCTAAGTCCCTGCAGATTCTCCCCTCAGGCTTAGAGGAAGTTTGACAAAGCGAAAAAGCCTTGCCCGGGCTGTGTGTCTGTCAGTCAGTGTATGAGTGAATACGTATTTGATTGGCGAAAGAGCATTAAGCTGCCGGGTCTCGCAAATATCTGCACCAAACACCGCAGCAGCAGCAGTAGCGGTACACAAGGGTTCTAATTTTAGCATTTTTAGTTCGGTTCGCTCGTCCGCGGCTATTACGCGCCTAGGTCTTGCAATCAGTAACAATCATGGATACGTTAAGTGCAGAAACGCGGAATGAAATCTACGAAAAATTGTGGACTCGGATGCCCCGGCTCAACCCTGGACCAATGACCAGCTTCAGGATTGACGATTTTATCAATCTCATCAAGGGGCTGCCCATCATCTACAATCGACTGGATAAGCACAACAAACAGGAGTACGCCGATACATGGGACCAGTTGGAAGCCATACTGAAAACGCCCAGTGAGTGCTATGCGGGACTATCGTCGCAGTGAGTGGCAAGTGCTAATAAATTGTCGTTTCTCCTTTTTATTCGCAGAAAAATTCCTGATGATGAAATGGAAGGGTCTTCGGGATAATTTCCGAGTTGAACTCAAAAAGGAGTACTACTCTCCACCGGAAAGTCGCTACGTCTCTAAATGGGTCCACTACAAAAAGCTTGCCTTTCTTCGGGAGCAAGTTTTGGCGACTCTCGATCAAAAGCTCGACAGTGACAGCCATGACGAGTTGAATCAAATTATGAAGTTTGTTCAGAACGCCTCTCAAGAAGTACCTCCAACCAGCGAATCTCACGCCAACGAGCATTCCTACGCCAACAGTGACATCGATCCTCGTGAATTCATGAAGGTCAAAGAGGAACGTGAAGAACTTCCCGACGACGACGCTTCGGATGATGCCGAGTTCAACTTCAGTCATTTTCAGGAACCGGACCACGAGCATCCGAGACCGAATCGTTTCCCGCAAATCACCATCACTCCCAAGCTAACCCCACCTCCGATGAACCTTCAGAAGCGTAAGCGATCTTCACTCAGTTCACATGACTCCCTGGTTCCATCGCCGAAAATGCAAGCCAAAACCCTCGGGGGAATTCCCCACGATGATGACTATCATTTCCTGATGAGCATTCATCCCTACCTGAAGCAATTACCGTTGCCGGTCAAGCTCAAAGTTCGCCTACAGATGCAACAGGTCCTGTTCAACGAGTTGATGAAGCAGCCGCCGATCGCCGATGAGGAAGACTAGTTTTTTTTTTAGCTGCTACTCGGTGTGCCATATTCGGATCGAACCGAAAGCCAATGATACAAATTGATCAATGATCTCTTTTCCTCGCTCTGTATTGAATTCGATTTGAAATTGGATTTAGAAGTTAGGATAGCTGTATGAATAAAAATAGATTCCCAACGTTGGGAGCGGTATTAGTTGTGTTCGTTTTATTGTTGTGCGATTCAAAAGAAATGCCTGCTGATACAATTCGACTAGGGTTCGCAGTACCATGGTCTTCAGGGTGATACCCATTGTTGAAAAACTTAGGTTTTGTTCTAAAGTTTTGGTTATTTTCGACATTGGCCATTCTCATCGTTTAAAAGTTTGTAAATATGTATAACCATAAATTGAAGAGAAATTTATGTGTGGTGTTGTTAGATTTCCATGATACCAGCTATGATGCAGTGGCGTTGCCCTAACCTCAATCTGCCTGTTCAACAACTCTCAAAACGTAAACAATTAAAACAATATTGGTTCCAATGATTACCAATCTGTGAAACTAGAAAACCCTGAGCCGTTTGAAACTGATTTCAATGTAAACATGAGCCTAAATAACGTTTTCAAAGTTGTTAAACAGGTAAAAAAGTGAGGTTACGGCTAAAATCGTGATTTTAACTAAGACGTAGATACACAAAGAACGGTTTGACGGCAACTCTGTAACTCTTTACTCCTTTGGTAAAATACCATAAGTATCTGTCAGTTTGTGCGGAGAATGTTAGAAAGGGCATGACACTTTTAGCCCCTCCAATAATTTTTAATGGGAGCAAAGTATCATTTATCATATTTTTGCCACATTCACAAAAAAGAACATCACTGAGCTGCTTTCCAAATGTTAATTTCAATCGAACCGTCCATCCAAATTCATTCTTTTAATACAGTAACCCTTCTACTATTTCTAGACTGTCTTTCAATCTATTGAGCTGATTTCCCGAATGTAACTGTTTTATGGTTGACACTATTTACATACAAAAAATCAGCGTAAATGGATGAAGGACAGTCGAGAAACAGTGGTGTGTGGACGGTTCCACCCACCACATATATGGAGGGGTTACTGTATTTTATCTAAAAGGGTGGCTACTAAACCGGGAAAACCGGGAGAACTCTGAAGCAACCGGCAATTGAGAACATCCTTAAAATATGTTGTATATATACCTATTTCAGTCCTAATTTATTTTGAAATTTTCTCTACGTCTTGTATTTAACATATTTTTTTCATAGTTAAAGATCATGATGATTTTTTTGAAGCGGCAGAATTTAAATATGCTTTCATCATGATCTTTTAAATTTGTTCAAGTCTGAGCTCTCGATAATTTTTCGGAGTTGCTTGATCTACTTGCTTGAATTTAAGAGGTCCTAGAATCTTGAAAAATTAATACTACGTCTACTGAGTCCCGGATCTGCATCCTTTCTATTAGATTTTTTATATCTTCAATATTTTTCGTATGCCTACACGGGCTAGAACTCGGTCGAGTTTCATTGTCTCCATCAATCACGCAACGTAACCCGAATAAAAAACTACAAGGTTGTACGCAATGATGACGTAGGACTACATGGTATGATATAATAAATATGTTTGTTAACTGCAGCAGGAGCTTGTGTTTTGTGTAGAAATAGGAATTTTAGCGGGATTCTCTCTGTTTATACTCTTTAGTATGACTATGATTGCCCTGAAGAGAACCTTTTGATATGAATTTTAGTTGGGACATGTTCAGAAATTAACTCATTTGGAAAATGTTGGTGGCCCTGAAAAGGGCCGATGGTAGTACAGGCAAGCCTTTGGAAGATGATGATGACGTGTAGGCAGCTGCGTATTCAGTAACGGCATCACGGTCGCATTTTCTCGGCACACCTCGGCACCATATTCGGCTATACACAGTAACCAATGAGAAGTGAGAAAATATGGTACCGACAGAGCGTTCGCATTAGTTGCGATGCACCCGTTCAACAGCAAACAACGAGGAAACCCAAGGCAAATGTACGAGGAAACCCGAGGTGTGCCGAGAAAATGTGATCCGTGATGCCGTCACTGAACACGCCAAGCGCAGACAGTCCTGGCCATGGATGTGGTCTAGGCATCATTATCACCAGCAATCAAGCAACAAAACGGCCCTTTTCTGGGCCCCCAAGTTCATTTAATAAAAGAGTTAGAGTAGAACTTTTAAAGAACTACAAAAATAGTTTACACCATTAAGTCAAGGCTATTTTTTTTTTGAAAAGTGGATGGAACGCTTTGGATGCATATTATGGTCAAAATAAGTCAAAAGAAATCATTTATTATCGATCAGTTTTTTTCCTAGAAATTTTTGATAGATAGTATTTTCATGCAAGCTTTCTTGTTAAAAGCGAGGGAATTTTTATGCAGACTATGCAAAATGGGAGGGACTTCAAATGTTAATCCTCCCTCCCCCACCAAATGTTACAGAGTGTCATCAAAATACATGAAATTTTGAGTTATTAAGATCGTGAGAGTGAATTTTCTCTTTCAAATTTGAATGTTTTGGCTCTCTGGGGATTGGTAGTAAAGCGGTTAGAAATGTATGGGACCTTTTTTTATTTAATTCTAGCTTATTTATCAAAAATTTCCAGGAAAAAACTGAACGACAAAGTCCATAAACGATTTCTTTAGGTTGTCGTCAACTTTTTTTTTTTGGAAAGCTATGTGAAATTCATATGGATTTCATGCATTACATATGTGATATATATTTTGAGTGTATTCCCTGTTTCCAAGTTTGGTTACAAGATTACAATTCTGGAGAGCATTTCATTGGGAGCATGTGGTTCTGAATATGGCGCTTAGTGTGCACAATATTACGCAATTCCATCCTCCCTATTCGCACGCGCCCGAGGATCGGAGGCGAATGCCACTTCGACTTGTTTCGTCTACTTACTACTCTCTGACGACTGTGCTGGGGAAGCAGCATATGCATGTAGGTAATTGGTGGATTTGTTAGTTAACTCGACGCTTTTGGACAATACTGGACATTTACCTGTTTTTCAACAGTTTCTTGTTGAAAATCAACATTCGGAAGCATTGTTATCGATGTGTAGCCATATTTCTGATCTACTGGTGATAAAATTATTGAAATTGGACCAGGGGCAGCTGAGTTATTAACGGTCAAAATCTTTCTTAATTTGTTACATGTTCCATTTTCGGTTTTCACAAAGTGTACCCCCGTATAGAAATCAAAGACGTAGTCCTACGTCAAAATTTACCATACAAAAACATTAGAACCTATTAGTCCTACCGTGCATAATCATTGAGTATAATCGGAAATCTTTGCATTTTTATTCTTCTGGGATCTTGCAATGGTTCAAGTATAACATCTCGAACATTTTTCCAAGTTCTAAAACCATGGCATTTTTTTAGAAGGCAGCCTAATTTTCAGTATGTTTAAGAGTTGTTCCAGAGTAGACCGTCTGTTAAAATTTATGGCTACGTTTTGATGGCTGTATGGTGAATATGTTTTACAATCAAGTTTGGTCATAAATATACCTCCCATAACGCATCATTAGGGAACCCCTACGCGAAATATATCTCATGCTATTATAGGGTGTCCCAGAAAGTCTTAGTACAGCTTATCTTTGGAATAAAAAAAACGTTATGTTAATCAACTCAATAATAAATTTCATAAATATATTCTGTTTAGCAAAGTCTGTTCTATTTAGAATTTGGCCGCACAAAATAGGTCATTTCTCCAAGGGAAAATACAGTACAAAAACGCTAAAGTTATCATTTTGTAGGATTTTTATCAGCTTTAAGGGAGGAAAACAACAAAAATTATTTGTCAGCTTTTCGGATGAATTTTTGAACTTTTCGCAGAATACCTCTCACCATGTCTTGCACAGCGGTACTGTCAACCTCATCTACTATCCTTTTCCACCACTTCTCCAAATCAGATGGTGTTTTGATTGTTTTGCCACATTTATTCAATTTGCGCTTGATAATTGCCCAAAATGTTCCAATGGGACGAAAATCTAGACAATTTGGTGGATAGATACTTTTCTCAATAAAATCAACATTATTCTGCTAATACTATTCTATGACATTGCGGCTGTAACGGCAGCTGGCTAAGTCAGGCCAGAACTTTACGGGACCTTTGTGTGATTGAATGAACGGCAACATTGTGTTCTGGAAACACTACTCCTGTTAAAGTTGTCCATTAGAGTGATGCAAAATTTGAAATTTTCGCTCCACAATACTTAAACGATTCCAAATCGGATCCTGACTAACCTCTCAAAATTTCAACACATTTGGTGAGAAACTGAGATGGCACAAACCATTTGTAATTGGTATGGGAATTACTATGGTAAAACCAAGATTTTTGTTTATGTCTTTCTAATAATTCACCATATCGGTCTGCTTAAAAAGTTTTCAACTGTACTTATAGGAAATTTTTCCAGCTACAACTAACCTAAAGACCACTTTTTGATTAAATGCAAGGATCGAAAGTTATCAATGGTTCAATGCGCTGATGTCTTATGATCATGCTCAATCAACTGCTCAGCAGGCAACATTGGTGTTACTGGGGCGTTGAATACGACACAAAAATCATGGCTACTATGTCACACTGCAAAATACAGTGTTGCCTACAGAGCAGCTGCTTGATCATGTCATAAGTTTACCAATCTCTTAAATAATTAATAACTTTTTCCTGTCTCATTTAACATAGAAACGATCTTCAGCAAAGTTGTAGCTGAGAAAATTTTCTATAAGAATAGCTATCGAACTGTTTCGCAGCTCAATATGGAAAAAGACTAGAAGGCAATGAACAAAAAGTTGAGATTTCCCATAGTATTTTACATGTAAACTTCAAATGGCTTGTGCGAAGTCTGTTTCTAACCAAATGAGTTGTAACTTTGAGATGCTTATCAGGACCCGATTTGAAACCATTTAAGCACTGTGGAGCGAAAAAGTCAAATTTTGCATCAGTCTATTGTCCATTCATAGTCGCCCAGTGATGAAAACCTTTGTTTTCTTTCCGCAACTCCAGATGCCTTGCCAAATCATCAACTTGCGAGCGAAATTATTTGCAAAGACAAATTTGAATTTATCCGGAGCATCCCCCTTACGTTTAGCTAAGTTAAATTTTTAGCCCGGGATTTGTCATTTTGGAAGCCATTTTTACGTAAGTTTCAT